CTCGTCGACGTTGCGCAGCACCTAAAAATTAGAATAAGTTTGGCCTTGCGAACACCTTTAAACGCCAGGATTGTCCGAAAAACTAACCAGGGTATCGGCATCGAGGAAGACGGCCTTGGTGTACTGGGTGAGGCGCCAGCAGTGGAGCTTGGTGAAGGTGAGGGCCAGGTCGGGGCGGCCGATCAGCGCCAAATTCGCGTCGTCACCGCTCTGGAGGACGTCAACGACCGAGATGTCGTCGAAGACTTCGGAGAGTTGCTGCCGGGCCGAGGAGGTCACCTGGAAAGGATGAGGTAGAGCGAGAGAGAGAGAGAGAGAGAGAGAGAGAGAGATCGACCCCCACCTGCTCCGAGATCAAAACGTGCAACCGCTTCGACGTGTTGACTTCCCTCAAAGAGTAGCCGAGCACAAGCGCTCCCTGCACGTATTCGTCATTTGTCGCTAGCGAAACAAAGGCCTCTGTCATGGCTGAAAAACGTGAAATTACCATAATAAACGGATCGAGTAAAAATTCAAAAGAAAAAGAAGATCAAAATTCGAAATTTTCTGAAAAATAGCGCTTTCGTAGGCGGGGGTGAGATCCCGCCCAGAGATAAGGATTGATAAGGGCCGGGGCGCATTAATGACAATCAAGCAGATGTGTTACATCTGTCCTCGTGCGGGATTTTTTGTCGATTCTTCTGGACTTTGGAACTAGCTTGGACTTGCAATAATTATCCAACGATAACTTAAAAAAAGCTTGGTGACAAATCCAGTAAAATTAATGATTTTTTAGCTGGTGTCCGAAGACGCATTATTAATAAATTTTTCAAAGCGCTGGCAATATGCAAATTACGTTAGAGCACTTTATTGAATTCCTGGGAAATATCGGAATCTCAAACCGAAAAATTTTGTAAGTACAAAATACTATAAAAGCTGTTTTTATATTATTTTTGATCTGTTTGGTTGTAGGAAATTTTTAAAGTCCATGGTAAAAATTTTTCAGCATGGCCTTTAAAAATGAAACATATTACCTGTTTAACTATAAAACTAGTAAGTTTTCTAATTATAGCAAAAAATTAATTTAACCTAACCCATAGTCGTCGTTCATATCTAAACCAGGCCCAAATTAAAGCACAAAATTTATTTTAGCTCCGAAAACCAGGCTAAGAAATTATCGCCTTCTCGTAATAGCAAATGCCATTTTCGGCCCAAAATCGTGTAGAAATCAAATCCGGGCCTACGAAATGTTTCATCATTTGCAGTCAACAACATAGACCCCCAGCGAGAAGAGGCGAAACCCCCGAAAAAGCCGAAAAAAACGGTTGAGGGCGAAGTATACTGACTGTTTACTGGGCAGCTGTCTGGACTGAACTGGAATGGGCTTGAGCCGGTGAAGACATAGCCATGGGCCCACCCCGACACTTTACAAAGCGCGATCCGTCGGCCATCCCCCCAAATTAGCAGTGCCCCGGTGGGTAAAGCCGGGTTATTCGTGGAGAGTTCGGGTGCCCACCCGGGTCGTGCAAAAACTGGACGTTGAGTAGTGAAACGGAGGTGTTTCTGAGGGAAAACCGGGGCCTGGCTCATCCTAAAGGGGTAAGGTAAAATCCACGGTAGTAATTTAAGATACGGAAATCAGTCGGGCCGCGGGGGTATTTTCGTGGGCCGCAAAAAATCGGAATGTACGGGCTGCGCGGGTCAGTCGCACTTCAGCGCGGCCGCGGTTTTTCCGCTTGAGTCGGCACGGCAATAAGCCGCGCGGCTTTGAGGCCAGCATCCAAATGAGTTTTGAGCATTCCGGCACGTAAATCAGAGATGCACGCGTATTTAGCCTGCCAACGATGATCCATACCGATAACCTTAATTTTCTCACTTCCATTCTCATTTGGCATGAAATTCATGGTTCCCGGATATGCGTAAATGAGCCACTTCCGGTTTGCGGTTTGGCCGCAGCGGCCCGGCCGAGCCGCGATCAAAACTGGGCCGCGAAGCCGCATTGTGGAAGTAACCAATTACGGCGGCTCGGAGGGGGCCGCGTTTTAGGGAAATTAGGCCGCCGGCCTGCCACAGGCGCGGTTTCGGCCGCCGATCTGAATTGCCATGTCTGGCAATTTGCTAGATTTAATCGAGAACGAAAACCACCGTAGGCGGTGGAAAAGTCGTGAAAAATCTCGGGGTGTCGGATCATGAAACCGTGCTGCCGGCGGAAAATTGAAAATTGCGTTTTAAGGGACCTCGCAGAAATACACCAACCTAACTCCGATGAAAATTATAAGTAGAAGAAATAAAAGAAAACCAACATCAGGAAGCAAACTGAACAAAAATCACACGCTGATATACAAAAGGAGGTTTCCCCGAGGAATCGGAGCTTCAGCGCTTCATGACCTATAAAGGTTCCTTTCTTAGCTTATTCGGCCATCCGTGCATTAATAGACAAAAGGTTAACAGCCAAAAACGTAGAATCGGCTAGCAATAGTTTACAAACGGCTTCAAGGCTAAAAGAGGTATCCCTTCGACCTTTGATTTTTTCCTAACTGGTCCGGCGTTTGGGATGCTTAATGTTTTGGTGAGACTGTGGATCTGGAATGCACTTTGTAAATAATTCTACTAGCAGTACGCTTTTCAGACGGAGTAGGCTATCAGCCGCAAATATTAAGAATTTTTAATTTTGTGTCGTGTGAATATGGAAGGAACCGAAAAACCACTAAAAAGGAAATGTTGCATGCCTGGGCATTGTGACTACTCGCGGTGCCGTCCTAAGTTTACTATCCCCTATCAACAAACAAAAGAAGAAAAAAGAAAGGAGGAGACACGTGGGAATGGGGGAATGACTTGACGGGATTGAAATAGCTTCTAACCGAGAGAGAGAGGGGGGAGAGAGAGGCGATAGAGAGACAGAGAGAGAGGGGGAGAGAGTGAGAGCGAGTACGAGCAGCAAAGTAATAAAGAGTATACCTATCACGAGACAGACAAATGGACGTGGAAACTATTCGAAATACGCCTAGCTTGTGTGTGGTTATGTGGCGGAATGGGTACCCCGTCGCATTGATCCAAAAGCGCATTTCTTCTTCCCGCGCCTCGGCCACACAGCATAGGGGCCCGGAAAATACCGGCCCGGCTGCTTGAGAACAGTTGCTTTACTACGATGCCTCACCGAAGAAAACGAAACCAGGTCTGATTCCCGGTCGCAGTACCTATGATCCCATAGGTACAATTTTACGATCTCAAAGGTTTGCAGGTTGATCTGGTTATAGTAAAGACGAAAATTCAAGGACTGAAAGAGAAGCGTATGGTTTCATCAGCTTTTTTGGCATACGATCTGAAGTTTTAATTGAGGTCATAGGCGTGAGCATGGTATCAAATGAGAAAATTAATGCTTACCAAACGAAGAAAAGATTAGCGGGGCCGGTCTAGTCGGTTGTGGTGTTTACTCGTTTCAGGCCCTGTCTCATGGCGGGAGATAAACTTTCAATGCACTATCAAATCGACACGCTCGCGTCCCTGATGCGAGCGTGTCGATTCCCAGAAAAAACAAGGCTATGAAAATGGGTTTGTAAATGCGGAATACTCAATGGCTCCCAATGGACACTGATCCAAAAACATACATACAAATCAAGTCCAAAAGTAAGACAATCACTAGCAATACTCTGGAGTCGTTCATGCATTTCTAACTTTGTTCTCCGTGTCATTTTTAGAAGCCCTATTGGCTAATGAAAAACGATACTCTATTTTCGCAAGGCTCAAAAAAATTACTCGAACCTAATACTAACTAAAAATAGCACCACAAAAAACGCTATGAAAACGATACTTTGTAATGCATCAACTAACGGTACAAGAAAACAAGCCTCTAATCGTCCCGCAACAAGAATCCAAAAGTAATGAAATAATGGGGCAGTTGTTTCAACGAATCTCATGAAGGGGTAACTCCGCAGGTCGCCTCTGTTTGCCATCAACTCGATGCCACCGCTGCGCATGACCGCCTACAAAAACATATTTTCTGTTAGTTTAGGGCTTTAGGATCTTGATAAATTGATCGTTATCGACTTGCTGCCTTAAACTTGATTTTCTTGCTGCAAATTGATAGCTTCTCTCCCGCTCTCTCTCTCTCTCTCTCTCTCACTCTCTCTCTCTCTCTCTCCTCTCTCTCTCTCTCTCTCTCTTTCTCTTTCCCCCCTTGTGTATTTTATGCAGATTCTTATTCTGTGCGATCACTTTCGCTTTCTGCAACAGGATTTATTCTTGCTGTATTTTCCATCGGGGTGTAGAATTAAGAGGGAGTTTTCTGCAGTGGGAGGAAAAGTGTATAGGGCCAGAAAAACAAGTCGGGGGGAAACCGTTGCGAAAAAAAGGATATTTCAGCCAGTATAGTCAGGAGAGGGAGGGGTGTACAGGTACATGTAGTTTGTAGCGGTATTCGGACAGGTATACGGGTTGGTGGATTCGTTGAAATGGCCATTAGGGTGCGAGGGAACATAGGGGGTTGGATTCTAAATAGTGTCCCAAAGAATCGTGCGACCAGTGTTTCGGGGGGTTTGTCTACAAAGGGTTCTAGAAGTTTGAAAAATTCGGGGGACCAAGCCTAAGCCTAAGCCCAAGCCTAAGCCGAAGCCGCAGCCCGAGCCCCCAAAATTTTACGAATCATACATTCACCAAAGTCAAACAAAAATTCGCAAAATCTACAGACTAGCCAGAAGCCAAAAAACACACACATTACAAACCATTTTTTCACATGTTTTCTTTTTACTAAACAACGACATCGTAGAGAGAGACCGAATACTTTCGTTTTGATGCGAGGAACCGGAATGGGTGCTGAATTCAAGGGGGTGCAAAATAGGTTCTAGAACGTCGAAAATCGGATCGAAAATTGAACAAAGATATAGAGAGAGATGAGATCGAGGAGACGGGTGCAAATTCAATGATTTGCGATCGTCGAAATGCAAGTAGCGGTCGCGGTGCTGTTGCTCATTCCCTCTTGATCTCGGCGCCGCAGATGGTGAGCGTCAGGAAGAGGTTAGAACGGAGTTGCTGGGCCTAGAAAAGGTACATTGAATAAGCTGTTGTCACGATCTCACTCTCTCGCTTTGCACGCTCTTGCTCTCTCTCTCTCTCTCTCTCTCTCTCTCTCTCTTTCTCTCTCCCACTCTCTCTTTCCCTCCACCAACCTGAGGATTCTCAGCCCTCTGCTGCTGCAACAACATCATCGGCGTCTCGCTGCACAAGTCACCCTGGTTGACCAGCTCGGTCATCTGCGTCTCGTTCAGAAACTCCTTGAACAGCTCGATCAGCTCGGCGTTCATCCTCTCAACGGCGTAGTGGATGACAGTCTTGCCATTGGTCGCATCAACCAGCATCGGGTCGGCTCCGGCCCTCATCAACTCCCGGATGGTGTCTTTGTTGTCGATGATCTGGCGCTGCTCCTCGTCCATGGCCCCGTGGTTACGGATGGCGCACAACAGGGCCGAGCTGCCCATGCCGTTCAGTTTGTTCACGTCGGTCTCCGGGCTGGAGCAGAGGATCTGGATAGAGATGATCAAGCTGAGAAAGGAAGTGATATCGATACCTTGACGATGTCGCTCATGCCTCGGGAGGCGGCGTAATGGATGGCGCACTCGCGTTCCGGGCGCAGCGTCTGGGAGTTCGGGTTGGCGCCGGCTTCAAGGAGGTAGGCGACGACCTAAATTTGGGGGATTAGAGGCAGTATGACAATAAGAATAGACCCATTGTCTTCAATATTCCTTTAAATTTATCATCTACCGGCTTTTAGCGAAAAATGGAAAGCCACAAACCTCGGCCCGTCGCTTCTCGACCGCCAGGAAAAGCGGGGTCTCGTGGAAGCGGTTCGGGAGGTCGAACGGCTTGGCGTCGCGCGAGTAGTTGGTCTTGAGCTGCTGCTCGACGAGGGCGTAGATCTTGGCCAGATCGGTGTGGATGGTGACGATGTGGAGGAGGGTGTCGCGGTCGTTGTCCTGGTGCGACAGGGCCCCCGGAGCGTACTGTAATGGCATATTTAGCTCGTTATCTCTCTCTATCTCTCTTTTTTTCTCTCTCTCTCTCTCTCTCGCTCTCTCCACATACCTGCATACACTTGCAGGTCCAAGCCCAGGCCGAGTCCATGTCCGAGTCAGAGATCAGCGCACGAAGCTTCTCCTTGGCGGCTCTCTGCCCCTCCTTACGAGGAGATCCACGATGGTTGTAAGGAGGAGTCAACGGAGCTGATACTCCGCCACGCGGAGCCCCAGGGCTGTTGTGTGGCGCGCTTCCGGCTGAGAGTGGTGAATCATAAGCTGAGTCCGTGCTATCTGGGCGGTGCTTCAGCTCGTCCTCGTCGTGCTCCTTCTTCTCCGCGGCGGTGTATCTGGAAATTACGAGTTTCTGCCTACGAAAGGTCGTGCTCACCTGCGCGAGTACTTGAGGATGAAGTCGGACAGAGCATCAGGTAGCTCATTCGAGTCGAGGAGGCGGTTCAGATCTGCCGTGGTCATTGAATGGTCGGTGAATGGGGACTGACGAGGTGGAGATGATGAGTAGCCCATGTCCGATTGTACGGTGTCTGGGGTGGTGGAGCTGCTAAAGAGATAATTTTTAAGGGTGAGTTCTTGTTCCTTAAGTACCTGATGTATCCAAGAGATTCGGGAGAGTCCTGCCAGCTCGATCCACACTCATAACCGCCACCGTAGGCCGAGTAGGCCGAGTAGTCTTCCACCTGGAAAAGTAGGTTGCGTGCATGGCGGAGCACAACGTACTGTAGATTGACATCTTTATTAACAAAAATAGTCTTTAAAGAAGCTTAGCGTATTGTAAGGTGATACTCGCCACGCTATGCTGCGCTAAATTGTGTAAGCAGCGGAGTGTAGCGTACTCTGCGCGTTTTAAAAGTTTACGGTGTCCAGGGAGCGTAGCGTACACTTTTTCAAAACGCGCTTGCATGTTTGGAAATGTCTATTTGCGTAATAAGTCATAAATTTTCCAAAAACGTACCACAGTCTGGGCAGCCGTTCCGTACGGGATACGGTACATGTACGGGTGGTGTCCATAGGCAGCGTGACCGCTGCGCACAGGCCCGCGAGCAAGAAGTTCGCCCTCCTCGCCCTCCTCGGTCTTTTCCTAGAAACATTAGGTTTAAGGAGAAGACATCATCAATCTCACCTTCTTCTCCTCATCCTCCACCTTCTCGTCGGCCTTCTTCTCATCGTCACCCTCCTTCTTCTTGTCCCCAACCGGCTCCTCGTTCTTTTCCTCCTCGTTCTTGACGTCCTTTTTGGCCTCCTTCTTCTCCTCCTTGTCCTCGCCCTTGTTCAGCAGGTCGGCAAAGAGTGCAGCGCCGCCACGACCGAATTTCGAGGTGGTGTTGGTCTTCTTGGCGAGAGCCGAGGAGCGGATGCTCTGAAATGGGAATATTGAATTTTTCGTACACATTGTTATTACTCGAATTTTCAATGGGACGGAAAGCGGAAAAATGTCGAAACCAACTTTTCATGACATTTCCAAGGCTTTCCTGGGCATTTTTTAATTGTATTAGGTATTGAAATGCACCGATTACCCTATAAAACCTAAAATTCCACCTGGCTATTCCAAGCGACCATTATTTAGTGCAGTACTATATTTTTGTGGATGACAGAATGGCGACATTTGGGTAGCATCTAGTATGTGCTCGTGGAAACAAAGAGCTCTCTAGACCGGGTTGCCAAATCCACCCCTAACTTTTTTCACTTTCCGGACGACGCCTCTGAACAAAGTACATTCTCCGGCTCTCAAACACCCCCAGAAAAGCGACTTTTTTTTAGCGAGAGAGAGCTACGAAACAACGGACTAATTGAAATTTTAATCGGAACGGAGGCTTTCTGCTTTTTGAATCGTGGATTCTAAATTATGCCAAAGTTGCTAAACACGATTTTGAAATTATCGTCATCATTTAATGAAATTTTAAGAGACATGGTCTAAAAAACTGCTTTTTCAATTCCTTTTCATTTCGATTTCTTCAAGCTTTTCGAAACCCTTACATTTCAAAAACCCCCACCCTCCGGCCGGCCGGTCAGCGACTTTTCAGCCCGGCGGGCCCCCCGGGCTCTATTTGCGTAGTTCGAGTCTTTTTCTCTCTCTCTCTCTCTCTCTCTCTCTCTTTCTCTCTCTCTCCGCCCGGCCAGCAAATTTTTCGATTGCAAAACACTCTGGGCCCTCGGGGCGCCCGGGGGCCCCCCGATCACATGCCTTCACAAATAGAAGGGTGGAGGTGAGGGAACGGGTAGAAAGAGAGAGAGAAAGAGAGAGCGAGAGAAAAAGTAAGAGAGCAGGTAGAAGCTAAAGAAGAAAAATCATCGCCACCGCTTGGCCCCTTGGTTTTTCGAGTAGCCGCTAAAATTTATGAGGCTGGGTGGTGTTGCTTGGGGAGAAGCCCTGCTTTCCGATAGAGTACAGATTACGGACAGATCTTAGTATAAAAACAATGTATTTTTAAGCCATTTAGCAATGAAAAAAGCTCAAATTAGATTTTTTAAAAGCTCAGACACCCCGCTCTCATTTTTGTCCTCCAGCGTTTCGAGAAACTCTAGTTTCCGAAAGTATGACATTGATATGACCTCTTCCTACCCCGGATTACGGCAGCAGTAGGTTTTAATTTCCTCGGGTCACCACCACCCACTACACAGGATTATCTATATCAAGTTCAGTGGAGTGTCTTGGAAAAACTAGGGGATTAGCTGGCTAGTATAGTTTTCAGGAGGGGGCGTCGGATTTACGTGGGTTTGTGACGGATTTTTTGGATAAAGGGCACCATCAAAAATAGTTAAAATTTCATGCCGGCAGTAAAAAAAACTTCAAAATAGGCCTGAACCTTCCTACAAAATCGCGAGGTTTTAGAAAGTTTTATAACGAGTTCATAAGTTGAGTATTTGCTTTTGTCTGGATTTTAGCTCTTCACAATCAGAATCACTAATCAACATGAAAAGATTCTTTTTCCAATTTCGAGTTTCCCAAAGGAGCTCTGCTGGGCTACCTAATATACAAAAATCATTCTCCTCCACCCCCCGAAAACCCGCCGTTGGTCCCGTTTTCCAGAATCGCCCTGCGCTTTCTGTAGAGGTGCCGTGTGACACACAGCCCTGGGTGGCTCTCTCTCTCTCTCCCTCTCTCTCTCTTTCCCTATATTTGTCCGCAACCGCGTCCGCGACCGCACCGCGCGTCCGCAGCGCGCCGCTTTCGCACGAAAAAGAGGCACCCGCCGGCCGGTGGGGGTGTTGTGTGTCGAGCGCGCGCGCCCGTTTCGGAGCGGACTGTACGCTCCGCTCCCCCCAGGTCCAGCCCGCTAAAAATAGCTCCCCTTCCCCTGAGCAAATCTCACACCGACATCGCCTGGGGCTTGGAGGCCCCGTTTTGGGAGTGGGAGGCAAATATTGGTGTTTTGGGGGAATCGGACTGGATTCTGGGGAAACTTGTATTTTAAAGCGGGGTATTGAGATACGCGACCAGATTTTGAAGTTTAAAGGAGCTCTAAAAGCTTAAAAAAAGTTCTATGAAGGTTACGGTATCTTTAAAAAGCCATGAAGGCAGCGTTTGTGTTTTGTGACTTTTCAAGGAGCTTGTGAGACGAAATCAAGATCGGCTTTTGAATTTTGTGTGAGCATGAGCAGAATATTTCATATTTTAAAGGCACCCTAAAGCAATATCCACAAACCTGGAGCGTGACGTAGTCGGCCGGGGAAATGTTGTTGATCTCCTTGCGTTGCTGCTTCTTCTTCTCCTGGTCTTTGGCATCTGAAATGGGCAGCATAGAATTTTTCCAAGATGTAGCCTGTATTCTTCCGGTCGTCAACCTACCATTGACAGAAAGCTGCTCGAGCTGAGCGGTCAGGTCGTCATCGTTGGCGGCCCTGGGGAGGGCGCATGGTACGGCACGGGCCACGAGGCACCCACCGTCCGGGTCTGCCATCACCTGGAAAATGGAGATGATCATGGTTTTGAAGAAATTTCAGAACATTAAGAAAAATATCAAAGCAAGAATATAAGCAAGAGAGACCGAGAGAGATAACGAGAGATGGCGAGGTGGAAAACGATCTATATAGCAACAATATGACATCTAGCAGGAAACAAAAATGAAAACGCAAAGTTCAAAAGTTAAAAACCCGGTCCAAAAGTTTCACCATAGTCCAAAATATACAGTTTCATCTGGGTCTCACTACTCTACCTCCCCAACCAATTTGCTCCCGACACGCCAATTTACCCCCCGGAATAGTGATTACCTCTTGACTCCTAACCCCAAATCCAATCTCGGCATAAGCCTCCGCCGACCATAGAAATTGACTCTCTGCCCCCAAATTGCCGCACGCAGATCGGGTGGCATTTCTGGATGGCAACACGGAAAAACAGTGGCGTGTTTTTCTCATACTTTGCAGGGGAGGGGTCAGCAACAGATTATTAAAAGGTATGGAAAATATTTATGAGAGAGGAAGAGCGTGATAGAGAGAGTGAGAGAGTGAGATAGAGAAAACGTGTTTTAATGAAGTGCTGGACCCGGAAGGGGGAGCAATTTGTAAAAACAGACGATGGAAACCGTAATTAGAGTCCCAGCGGCCCGTTGGAAGGCGGCCAGATTCGTGGAACGTTGTTTCGGAAAATTAGAGTAAGAGATGTGCAAAGTCCGTGAGAGAGTACGTGGGATTTTGTAGGTTTACTGGAGCTGTGGTGAAAAATCAGAAAAAAAATCGTAGTTTGTAGAATGGAATCGAGCAAGTCAGCGAAAAACTAGCTTCCTGTTTACGAAAATTCGGGCCACAAATACAGAGATCGGGTAGACGGGTATTTTTTGACCTTTCGTGTTTTTGGGAATGGGACAGCCAGATAGCAAAAGTATTCGATATCAAGTTATTTTGAAGATTCCAGATAGCGACCTATTAAGTTAGAACTTCAAAACAATCACATGCCACGTACATCCGACAAAAGAACGGAAAAATCAGCATAAAGAAACAATCGAAAAATTCGTAGTCGTCAAAAAGTTGGTAACAGGAACTTCCTAGAGACCCCCAGGTGCACCTTGTAGATGCCTTAAGTGCGAAAAAAGCTTATAGCTCTTTAAGGTTTCAATCAGGATCTTCCTCGATACAACAGGTACCTTTTTTTGAAGGACGTTAAGTGCCAAAACGTGCCAATACGGACTCGAAAGTGGCTAATGCTACGTGGAACTTCTATGGACAGCGCTCAAGACCTCAAAATACTTTCAAAATGACACGCTTTGGCACAGCAGGTACACTTTCTAAGGAACTACAGGCACCAAAACTTGCCATACGTGTTCCTTAACCCGTGTGACTACGCAGAGCTTCTATGCACGAGAGGGAGAGATGAACGTCCCAGTAAGATACGATCTGACCCACAAGGTACATTTTCTAAGGAATTTAAAGTACAGCAATGTGCCGAAATCGCGTGCCAAATCTCCGCGCAGCTACGCGGAACTACGCTGAACATCTCGCCCCCGAATCGCACCTTTTATCCCACCGGGAATGTGAATCAGTGTTCGGCGAATTCGGCAAACGGTTTGCAAAAATAGATCTTAGAAAGGTTTCAAGGTACGTGCCAGTCCTAACTAAGAAGCCATCTGACCCCAGCCCCCGGCTTCCCCAGCTAAATATGGACCCTGAATCTGCGTGGGCTATTTCGCAAATACGCCAAATCACGAACCGGAAAATGCCCTTTCAAAAGCGGAACCAAACGGTCATCCGCGAGCTCGACAATTCGCCGGGGGTAAAAATAAAAAATATTGGGGCGGCAAGTGCGTCGTCGCCGCGCGGGGGGGTAGTTTTGGGCGAGTGAACATCGTCACAAGGGATCCCCGGGAGGGCGAGAGAGTGGACAGGGTAGAGAGAGACTAGAGGGGCAGAGAAAAGAGAGGTTGGGGGGAAAATTGAGACTCTCGACTGGCAGTGGCCCAGCGAGAAAACAGCTGAGGACGGGGATCGGGTGCAGAGAAATTCGAGGGATTGGACGAGAGATTATGGGGGCGAGACTTATCAGGGAGGCGGAGGGGGGATTGAAATGGATCGTTTGGATGAATCGTAACGGAGAATCAGTACTATGATATTAAATACGTTCTGGATCAAGGAAGATGACAATTCGTGTAGATTTAGGGTGTAAGAAAATGTGGTTCCTGATTCCTTGAAACAGTGAAAAGTCCGAAAGAACGATAGAAAGTAAGCGAAAAAGAACGAGAGAGGGAAACAGCAAGAAGGGAAACATCAAGAGTGACAGAATCCGAGTGAGTGCGAGAGAGGAAGATAGCGGGCGAGAGAGAGTGCGAGAGTGAGCGAGAGTGAGCGAGAGAGAGAAAGAGACAGAGAGAGAGAGCGAGAGAGCGAGAGAGAGAGAGAGAGAGAGAGAGAGAGAGAGAAAGAAAGAAAGAGAGAAAACTTGATGGCGCTACTAATCGAGGAATTCAAATTCCACAGGCTTGTCGACTTGATTTAAAGGTGATCGCACACACCCGGCCAAATTCAACGAAAATGCCAACTAAAATAAATACATTCGAACCAAGAAATTATACAGTGCATTATAAAACTTTTGAAAACCAGACTTCGAGGTATACTAATTATATGCATACAAAAACGAACGCGGAAAATAAATCGAAACCAGGAACGAAAATATGGAACTTAACTTGTTCACCGCTCGCGTTAATGCGTTGCCAGAAAGTACACTTTTTGCTAACTACTGACGATCGAAACCAGCTACTTTAAAATTTCTGAAGATGCCAAGAAAGCGTCAGAACGCAACAAGGAACTACCACAAAAACAAACTCCCCGTTCACACGGGATCAGTGAACTATCGACCCCCTAAATTACCATCAAAGGGGCCCAATCCAGGCATGGGGCGTTTGGGGGTGTGCGTGTTTTGAGGGGCGTCAAAACCCGAGTCGAATTCCGAAAGCAAAAGAAGGAGAAAAAGAAAGATTGGGCTCCAACAAGAAAAAGAGTGGCGAAAAGGACAACCGCCCCGGCCGAGCTGGGGAGCCGGTGGGAGGGAGAGAGGGATTGAAATGGGTGGTGAGGCGAGAGAAACGGGGCAAGGTGAGAGAGCCGTTTAGAAAACAGGGTGGAGGAGGGGGTGTCGTGGAATCGGGAGAAGGTGGTGAACCTGGAGGCGACAGAGAAAATGGCTTGAAAAAAGGCAGTGAAAAATTTGAGAGACGCATAGAGAAAGGTCGAGAAAATGAGAGAGACCGAGAGAGGGAGAGAGCACGGGGCTGAGCGGCGATATTTAGAAAAGGGCTTGGTAAAGGTGAGCGAGAGAGAGAGAGAGAGAGAGAGAGAGAGAGAGAGAGAAAGTAAGAGTGAGGGCGAGTGATACTCTTAGCAATAGAGGGAGTCAGATGAACAAACTAGGCGACAGAGCGAGCGAGACCTAGAGAATCCAAAGAAAAAACAGGGCGAGAGAGCACCGTTTAGCATCGGACCCCTAAAGAATCCGCAAAGCAAGAATTCAAGAGAACGGAAAGAAAAAGAGATACCTTCCATCCCGATGAGAGGAGCGAGACGCAGACAACATACCCCTGAAAAAGAACCGAGCCCCGGGCAGAGAAAACAAGAATTAGAGCGCCGCGGGAAAAGAGCGGGGACGGCGCGGGCGCCCGCCCGGCCGTCGCCGCCGTGGCTAGTTCCTGGTCGATTTGTCCGGAGCGAGAGTGCACGGGAACGGGGGAGATCCCAGAAATTTAGAGGGCTTCTCTCCTGTTGATGGCTAAAAAATGCCCCAGGCCCTCTCGCCGCTCCCGGGGCGGCGCTCCACAAGTATTTTCTACGGGGGAGAGGGGGGGTGGCTTCTTTGCCTGGGTGAATGGGGGTTGCCCTGGGGCTACTAACACCGAGGGCGGTGTGGAATGGAAATTGGAAAGTGGCGTACTAATGAAGGGAGTGAGAGAGTGAGCGAGGTGAGAGCGAGGGTGAGAGAGAAAGAGCATGAGATCCAAACCTAGAGACACAAGCAGGAACTTGCTCGTGCTCATCAGGGTCGAAGCCTTTGGACTATTTACGATGGCCGTCTAAAAGAGCAGCCAGAGTAGCGAGAGAAAGAGAGAGATACAGAGAGAGAAAGATAAGAGAGAGAGAGTGAGAGAGAGAGCGTGAGAGAAACCCTGAAACCGTGAACGCCTTCATCGTGTCCTGTGACTATCTGTAACCACGGAAAAACACAGCAAACCCACCGAATTTCTCACGGATTTTTTGCGGAAGAGCCGGTGTGGGGTGATAAGCCCGGCCTTTTCAGAGACTGCCAGAAACAGTTCCGAGTTGTGGTACGGAAAATCCGAAAAGAGACGATGTGGAACTCTCACGAAGAAACGGAAACTGGTTTAGCAAAAAAAACAGTTTATCAACTAGGTAACCAGCTCAGCCTAAACAAAGCCTGAGGCTAAGCCTAAGCCTAAGCCTAACCTGAGCCTAAGCCTAGGCCTAAACCCAAGCTTAAGTTTAAGCTTGGGTCGAGCTTAAGCATAACCCAAGCCCAAGTCTAGGTCCTTGATCTCGAAGCCGGTCCAAG